AGTAAAAAACATTCATGAGGTGTGAAATTTCTCATCACCGCTTCCAGTTTATTTACTTTGCTGGATATAGGTCACTGAAATAAGCAAAATTTTCAGGTACTATGACAATCCAGAACATCTGAAAGAGCTTGGTGGTCTTGACATCAAAAACTATATTGCTAGTTCAATTGTGGTTTTCAATCTTGAAACTAAACAAGTTAAGTGGACCAAGGAGCTAGATATGAGTACGGATAAAGCAAACTTCCGTGCATATATTTATTCTTCCCCAACGGTTGTTGATTTGGATGGCGATGGTTACTTAGATATTCTTGTCGGAACTTCCTTTGGCTTATTCTACGCCATGGACCATCGTGGTAAGACTTTTTGTTACTTCCTACTGTTTCTGTATTTTTTTTACGATGATGGTTATTTTGCATTTCCTACTGTTCTTTTACCAAGCAATGCTTCTAGCAGGAGCTGTATGTTTTTGGATCGAGTTTTGTGATTGTGCAACTATGGCTTTCACAGTCAAGCCCACACTTCACAGAGTTTCTATCTTTAAGTTTGAATATTCTACCATTGCATTTCTCTGCAATTTCACTCTTTATGGATTCCTATTCATATTGATATATGTTTTTGGCTCAAATACTGTCTTATAAGTAAAACATTTCAGGAAGATACACTATTCTCACTACAGATTTGTTGCACTGGGTAATCGTGGCAGTTTCCTTGCAAGTGTTGATTTGGATTCTAAGATTGTTGTCTTTTTGCAGGAAACATCCGAGAAAAATTCCCGCTTGAAATGGCTGAAATACAAGGGGCAGTGGTTGCAGCTGATATAAATGATGATGGAAAGATTGAACTTGTAACAACTGATTCGCACGGAAATGTAGCAGCATGGACCACCCAAGGAGTGGAAATTTGGGAAGCACATCTGAAGAGTCTTGTTCCCCAGGTAAAACAATTACCTCCGTTTTTTTCCATCAAATATGAAACAGTCTTATGAATGAACCAGTTGTAGGAGCATCAGCACGATTCTATCAGTTGATCATATTGCATACGAGTTTCATGGGTTTCGCTTGCGGTTACTTTTAAGTTTTAAGTCCGTGTGTGAGACCAAACATCCTTAAAATTGAAATCACTTCACAACCAGTGACTGATACCAATCTTCTCATTCAGGGTCCTTCTATAGGGGATGTTGATGGTGACGGACACACAGACGTTGTGGTTCCTACGACATCAGGGAACATTTACGTTCTTAGTGGCAAGGATGGTTCGATTGTGCGTCCTTACCCGTACCGAACTCATGGAAGAGTGATGAACCAAGTTCTTCTTGTTGATCTGAACAAGCGAGGTGAGAAAAATAATGGACTGACCATTGTTACCACCTCCTTTGACGGTTACCTGTATCTCATAGATGGACCCACCTCGTGTACTGACGTTGTTGATATTGGTGAAACTTCGTAAGTACTTGCTTCCTCGCGGCACATTAAGATCTTTAGTAGTTTCTCTTTTCCAGTGGATTTTGATCGCCAAGATGTTTCGTGTTACAGATACAGCATGGTCTTGGCTGATAATGTTGATGGTGGAGATGATCTTGATCTAATTGTCTCAACTATGAATGGAAACGTCTTTTGCTTCTCTACGCCTTCTCCTCACCATCCCCTCAAGGCAAGATCAACCCTGAACACTGTTTTGAGCGTGTTTTCCTCAGCATCTTCATGTTTCGTTTTTTAATGTTAGAGATTACTGATTTCACACTTGGTTCTCGAATTCATCAGGCTTGGAGATCGACCGATCAAGGGAGGAACAATAAGGCAAACCGTTATGATCGTGAAGGTGTTTTTGTCACGCATTCAACCAGAGGTTTCCGCGATGAGGAAGGCAAAAACTTCTGGGCTGAGATCGAGATCGTTGATAAATACAGATACCCATCTGGTTCACAGGCACCCTACAACGTTACAGTAAGTTCCTTAAACCGAAAAGGATGATTAGCAATGGCTGCTTGCTGTTGATCCCTTGAAACTAAACCTCAGCGGTTTTCAAATGTACAGANGACGCTGTTGGTACCAGGCAATTACCAGGGTGATAGGAGGATAAAGCAGAGCCAGATCTATGATCGCCCGGGAAAATACCGAATAAAACTACCGACCGTTGGAGTGAGAACAACAGGAACCGTGATGGTGGATATGGTGGACAAGAATGGACTCCATTTCTCAGACGAATTCTCTCTAACTTTCCATATGTATTACTACAAGCTTCTGAAATGGCTGCTTGTCCTCCCGATGCTCGGGATGTTCGGTCTGCTCGTGATACTACGGCCTCAAGAAGCTGTGCCCCTCCCATCCTTTTCCCGCAACACAGACTTGTGATGTTAGGTAAACCAGAGCCTTCTAAAGTCTCGTCTGACAAAGCTTCATCTTAAGGATCCAGGGACAATTTTTCGTGGTAGAGTTTTTGGAATGTATCTTTCTGAAACATGTAATTCGACTTTAATATTAGATCACATTTTAGATAATCTTTCTTTGAGTTTATAAAGTTTTATGCACTACTTCAATGTGTTCACCGTTCAGAGTCCATTTTTGAACTAAGAATATTCAAAAAACAAGTTCAAGAGTCACCACCAACATCGCATATAGATAAGACAAGATTTGAGTATGTCCGTGCTAATTAAGGCCCCCAATTTACGAATTTTTTCATAATTCTATTGAGACAGAAAATCATATATTTTCATGTTTAGTTAGAAGTTAGAACCATATCCTTGTTGATTTATTATAGAATGTTTTCTTTTCACATCATTAATCTCTTTAATAGACATGCAGTTGGTTTTACGTTAGTTAAAGTTTATACATACCACTATTCATATAATGTAAAAGAGTTATGATCATCTAAGAAAAATAATGGATAATTTTTAGAAAGAAAAAACTATATATATATATATATATTGTTGTTTAATATATTTTACCTTAAAAATATAATATTTAAAATATGAAAATGTAACTAAATAAATTGTACATTCATATTTTCATAGAACTTAATTAGAGTATTTTCTTGTAAATAAATGTTTAAAACAAAAATATTTTTAAAACTCACCTTGGCCCCTTAAAATGTAGGCACGGTCCTGAGTATGTTTGGATTCGTAATTAACGACTATGTTATCTAAATATTTAATGAATAATATCTTACTTACACCAAACACGCCCATATCGAGAAGACAACCTAAACTAAACGAACCAACACAAAAGAAAACATAAAGATACAAAGTGTCGAATCCCGTGAAACATGTTGGTATGATCAGTCAGACGGGCGAAAATGAAGGTTGGCCAATAACCGACGGGCACGAGAACGCCACTGGCAACGACACCCAACCATTAACACCTGAGCTTTCAATCCTACAAAAGTATTTATTTATTAATTAGCGGACGTTTATTAACGAACACAAATATATATATTTTAAAAAAAAAAACTAAACTAACCTTCCAAACATATAATCGCACACGTACAATCTAAAAAGTGAAGAATCTAGACCGGTAATATAGCTGCGGATAAACCTAGATCAATTGGACCTATCCGAGTGGACAATTTTTTTTATGGGCTATATATGGTCTAGCCCATATAGTCTGCGGACAAATATGGTTTTGGCTCATCTGGACAAAACACAAAACCGTTTGGATATGGGCGTCCAACTATATATTAACTTTTATATTTTGTTATTTGATTTATTCTTAATTTTTTGCATATTTCTAAATTACTAGTTTTTTTATTTGTAATTAAA